TAGTGAGACCATAAGAACGTCCATTATTGCATTACACATGGTTCCATTAACCACTGAACAGAGAACATTCGTAATCAAAACGTTTTACGAAACAAGTACCTTGCAGAAGGCTCGTGTTCCTTTTGGATTGCCAATTAACTTTGCATAATTAACTACCTCCTCCGCAGGCCCTTTTCCGGGCAAATTTGCAGGCGGTGCAAATTTGCGAGCCACTTTTAAAAACGTAAAGTGAAAACGAAGCGCCTGCCATATAATGTGTCAAAAATCGGGAATCCAAAAAAATTCCTTTGAAATTTCGTCCATCATTAGTTCAAATTAATTTCTCATGTAAGCTGGGTTAATTCTGGACTTGCTGACAAAAAATTAAATGGAAATACGGCAAATAAAGAAAGAAATTGATATACGGCCAGCGTCATATTTAGACGAGAATGCAGAAAACACAGAGAAATATTATTTACGTTTAAAGTGTACCAAGATCTGCTGTTCAACCACATCCGACCATCTGACATCTTTTATCTTCTGATTTGTTTCAAATTACATTCTGAAGAAATTTGATATTTTTGGCTGTATGTTGTGCTCGTCATTCGACGGCAGCGATGTGGATATTCTCAATATATAGTTTTCTGAAATGGAACTTGGTATGTAGATTTTTGTGGTAATGGAGATTCTACTGTTTTCTACATGCAGACATTGTGTTATTATCACTCAAAAGACAAAGAACAAGCGAACAATGAGACGCTATATTACTTCATATTTACATTGACTGTAAATGTCAAATTATATTTGCATATTAAAGATATAATACCATATTTATCCTTCATTTGGAATGGCTTATCATAGGCTTAGTAGCAAAATATGTGGAAAGCAGATATAATATTGTTGATGTTGTATATGCATTGTATGATTGTAACACTTTATAAAACAGTCTCCATCGTTATAGAAAAGCGGCGGCAGGCTTAGTCTGCCAAGACCACTGGATGCTATTTCTAAATATTATTTAGATCTATTAGATCAGTGCTGGTATATATATTGTATATTAAGTCATAATAGTATTAAGTCAAAATGAAAATTTCGATTTATAGCATACACCATCTTGAAAACATTACTCGGCAGGCGCTCTTGCCTGTAACCTGCATTTTCCGAACCTGCCCGAAATGCTCCCAAAGTGCCTGTGGAGGAGGTAGCATAATGAATGTAGTTTTAATTCCCAACAGTGGAAGAATGTGATTCCAACCGACAATTTTTATTTGACGAGTATCTGGCCATTTCTCATTGTTACTGTTTAAGAAAGGTACCTTTGAAAAGTGAAATAACAGCTCTTTCGTCCTATGTAAAACTTAAATTGTTTAGCTAAGTTTGTGATGCACAACAGCCTGTTGAATTTCCATAGCGTTTTTTGAGACACCCTGTACATCAAAAACTGGATACTAATAACTGTTTTGCAAAATTGAGAGCAAATTCATCTCTGTTCAGTTTTTTTATACACCCTGTATATATATATATATATATATATTAGAGGTGTGGATTGGATTGGACGGTTTATAATCCAACAATTGGCTAATGTTTAAAATCCGATCCGGTCCGAAATTGTCTAATCCGAATCCGAGTTTTGATAAAGAATATCGATCCGAAGAATCCTTTAATAAAAAAAATATCTCATTCAAGTTTAAATATTTAACCAAATAAGTATAAAAGCAAGGAATACATGTCAAGAAGTTGACAAAGTGACGTCCAATTGAAGTATCAAACGAAAATGCAGCGACAACCGTGATAATGCTTTGATAAATACATGGATAATTAATATGCGATAATGTGTGTATAATTAATTCATTTTATTTCGAATATCGAAGTCCGATCCGAAACAACTTTATCAATCCGATATGTATATTCTTGTTCCAAAATCCGAACGAATCGGATTTGCACGCCTCTAATATACAGTGTGTATCAAAATAATTCGTATCCAAATTTGGCATGTAATAACGCAGAATATATTTGACAAATTCGGTTGGTTTTTACACCATTGTTAAGTTCATTTATTTACCTTTCAAATGACATGCTGTACGCGTCATTTAGTTGGAAAATGAAGGAGTATTGCTTTGACAAAAAAAGTCCATAAAAATCACAATTTTCCGCCGATGGGAATTGGACATTTTTTCTTTCAAAGTTAGTCCCACAAGGCTTTGAAATGCTAATCATCGCTGAAAACTAAAATGCAAATTTAACGCGAATTTCTTCTCGTTCAACATGTTGAAGGCATAGGAGCTTAAATCTCTTTAAATGAACACGAATTTATGTAAATTTTTCTACATAACAGTTTGTTGATTAATTAAATTTGCATTATCTTTTGTTTGTACGTCTCACTTCGAATTCCCATCGGCGGAAAAATTTGATTTCGAGCAACCAGTTTTAACACACGATTTCTTGGTCATTTTTGATCTTATTGATATAAGAACGATATAATCGGAAACCTAATAGGCTATTCTTTATTGCCATATAAAAATTATATGGTTTACTGTAGTATTTTATAAACAGCAGTCTGTCAAATTTGGATTCGAATTATTTTGATACACACTGTATATATATATATTACCAAAATATGAACATTTTGCTGGTCATTTAGAAGCAAATGTTAATGGTTTCTTAAACTGGAAATATAAATATATAGCAAAATACATAAACAGTGAAAAGTTTGATACTGTACTTATGCACATACAACCTTAGATGTAGGCCGTATTCCCTGGCCCAAAAAGTCGCTTAGAAAACGATTTTTGTTGCCCCCCTTCGGGCACTACTTTTAATTTGCATAAATCTATAGATTTTTATATGCAGAGTTTGAATTTACTTGTTGTCACTCGCACAAACCTGCCGTTTTCTTGTATTTCACGATCAAACATCAAAAAATTCCACTGCTTCGAAAGTCAATTTCCGCCATTTTGTTTCAGGAGGGTACTTCATGTAGTAAATGTTTAATGTACTAGTTCCAGCCTCTTAGCTGGGTATTTTATGCGCGGTTATATGCATTTTATGCTTAAATAAGGTCAACTTGTGCACAAATATATGGCCAAAAATCATGCAAATATGCTCCGAAACGCACTCTCTTATATGAGCACGTAAGTACCTTAAGTACGTAAATATTTCGTATTAAACGCCACTGCACTTAACTTTCAAACAATTTCCAATATAAAATATTGGTTTCTACTTTACCAAGTCATGGGTGGTCAGAGTAGATAGACTACCCTGTCCACCCATGAAGTTGCAGCATTGTTATACATATCTTATTATTTATAAATTCTCGGTTTATTTCTCAGATCAAAACTACAGTCGAACCTCTATTAAGCGGCCACCGTCGGGGATCGTCTTTGCGGCCGCTTAATAGAGGTGGCCGTTAAATAGAGGTACGCAAATAATAGACCCTGGGCGTAGCCAAATCTTTTGAAGTGTAAAGCTTTTGAGGTGTAAAGTGACATGTGCATGTTAAGCCTTATTTTACAAATAAATCAAATTAGCTCGACTTTTATTTTCGGCTCGGCTCTTGACAAGGTGTTGCGCCAAGTAAATCCTGCAGGCTGGCCGCTTAATACAGGTAAAAATTGACATAAACATCATTTGGGACCGCTTTTTGGGTGGCTGTGGCCGCTTAATATAGAGGTGGCCGTTTAATAGAGGGATAGTTTATAGTATTTGTATTACAAAAATTTCGGGACTTCGATATGTGACCGTTTAATAGAGGGTGGCCGCTCAATGGAGGGCCGCTTAATAGAGGTTCGACTGTAATTAAAAGTTTGTGTAAATTTATAAACATTGCAACATTACCAACAGACATGATAAATCTCAATGCGTGAACCTTACTTTACCAATCACTCCTCGAAGACGTCATCGTCGTCTTCGCTATCTTGATCGATGTCGGAGGAATCGGAACCAAGTATATCCTCTTCGTCGGTGTCTTCAGTATTTTCTTTCTGTCCATTCTGACAGTTCCGCGCAACCACACAAGGCAGTACATTCGAAACCAGCTTTCAAACAAGAGCAACGCTTTGTTCTACAGCCTGTTTTGCATTTACAATCGATGCACTCAATAAGTGAATTAGGAGCAGAAGGAAGAGTCGACCATACAATCTCTAACTGACCATTAGTAGACAATCTCCATCTGTTACCAGCTGGCAGTGGAAGCTGTAATTGGCAATATAAACACTTATTCCACGCAAGTGCTTGTTGGTTTACTCTTTCAATATGTTTCAGTAAACTATCGCAATTTGGTGGAAGAGCGTCGTCTGAACATTTGCCTGATTTAAAAAGGTTATATCTGCAGTCATCTACGTTTGTTGCACCTTTATCACCATAAAGAAAGCAGACAAATGCATTCAATGATGAAACTACCTAACTGTCGACAACTAACTGTCGGCCTTCACTGTTTTTTACCGTCAGATGTTTAGATGAGAATGTTTTCAGTTTGTTCTGCTTAATTTTAGTGAAGAGATCTGGTTTGTCGCAGAAGAGATTGTTTTGGCAGAATTCAGAGAATTGATGCTCGCCAAGCTGTTTGGCTTGAAGGATATTGTCAGCAACCTTGCTCTCAACTTCTACGCCACTGGATAAACCAACAAGTTCTGCTTGATCCGCGTTGAACAGGTTTGTCATGCTACAGATGGTCGCCATAACATCGCCCACAGACTTTTCATGCCTTTTGCATTTGCTCACATCTAAATCTTTTCTTTTTCTGAAAGTAAAGGGAATATAATTGACAATTAATATTTAGTGGAGTAGGCGTAAGCTGACTAAAATGGTGAACAGTGGTGATAAGAATGGCTAGAGATTTATGGATGTTAAGAAACATTCTCAAATTTGGACCGTGCAACTAATTTACATAATTTACATAGTAACACACGTACTGTGATTCACAGTTCATCCCAGACATCAATTTACATCGTTGTGTGATTGCTGCCCTCTCGGATTGTGAGAACAACAATCTGTGAACTGATGCACGATTCATGGAGAAACCAATTTATCCACCTTTTGTTTTTGAATCCCGATTGATCGTCTGCTCGATGGTTTGATCACAGGCTACTGCAGAAAACCCATGGATATTTTGCCGTTGAACTGAAAAGTTGGACGATAACTCTGGCAGAATTCCTGTAAATGATAAACATAAAGGATACCCTAT